TCTGCTCGTCGCGTGTGATCGGATGCGGTGTCGAATAGCTTCGAACAAGTTTGTGACAAACGAATAACTTTTCCAAACAAGGTTCTATACAGCTCTAGGACTCTCTGCAAACCCCCCTCCCCACTATTTTCTTCTTTCTTCTTTCTTTTTCTTTTTTTTCTCTTAATTTCCTGACGGTAAAGGAAAAAATCGAATTCACCTCACATAAAAAGGTTCTATTCAATTGTTCTTCCACAATAATGTCTCCTACCTGATCCTTCAATACACGCCTCCATTATGATCCAAAATGTGATTCGTATGTTTAAAAAATAGATGCGGCACCTTGTAGCACGACATTTGTGTTAGATCACTGAAGTCGCATTTGAAGAAGATAAGAATGGATTCAAATTACAAATGCTAACATTTCTTCTTTGGATAAACCAAATTCTCAGGCGAATGATAAATCTCTCTCTCCCTCTCTCTCTCTTCCTGGAATGATGAATCCACTTGAGTATGATGCGCCACAGGCATCTCGACCTTCCAGTGGTCACCTTCCGTTGACACCCTCTGGAAGCCTATACTCTCATTTATTTGGATCTGGAAACGGACTGCAAGGGATCCAAGGATCAAGTCCTCAAAGTGGAGGTACCGCTGGTATGAGTATCTCAGGGATCTCAGATTTCACACCAAGAGCTAACCGTATGGAGAGAGGATCGGTCACCGCAGGATTGTCCTCAACTTCCTCATCTAGAATGACGAGTAACTCTTCGTCAAGGAATATTAATGGTGGTGGAAATATGTCCTCAATGTCGCTACTTTTTTACGCTCAGCAGCAGCAGTAGCATCACAATTCTCCTGCTCAGATGTCTGCAACAGCTCTGCTGCAAATATCGGCTCAAATGGGCGCAACTGTGAGCAATTCTTCCCTTTTGCGAGGATTTGGATTGGGAGGTGCGGATTCGAATTCTATGGGCATGTGGCAAGTTCAACGCCAAGAGCAATAGCAGCGGCAGCAGTCCCAACAGCAGTCGTAGACGCAACCGCAGCATCAACAGCAATCACGATCACAGACTCAACAACAGCAGTAGCAGGGGAGGACAGGTGATCTTCCACTTAATAACATGTCTAATATGGCAATTCATCCATTAATAAGGCGGCCGAGTGATTCACAGAATGTTTCGCAGGGTCTGTGTGGCTTGTCAATAGGGTAGAAAAATAGTTTTGGAGGTGGTCAAGAATGACTATCGAATAATTCCACTAATGTGCAAGACCTTCTGAATTCTTTGTCTGGAGGTGCTGGACTCTCCCGAGCCAGTCTCTTCCCTGCAGCGGGAGCGGCGGCGTACAGTTTGCGCGGGGCCCAGACAGTGCGGAAAAGCACAGGCTTCGGGCCCCAGTTCAAACTAAAAAAAACAGGAAATGGATAGCTCATAACTCTGAGAGGCAATTTTGCAACTATACAAAAGGAGGGGCAGATTTTTTATTATCAAAAATTGAGGGGTATTCTCGATATTTTGGAAGAATTTAGGGGCATGTGTGATATTTTCCCTATATTTTATTAGAATATTATAAAAGCAAAGCAAATTGAGAAATGTTATACATCTTCTGTTGTTGTAAAACTTTGTCAACTCATAATTGTGTGTCTCTTTCAAAAACTAATCAGAATCTTTTATTTTAAAATAATAAGTTTAAAAAGAATAAAATAAAATCTCTAATCTACAAGTAATGGTTTAATTTTTTTTAAAATAAATGCTGATTTTATGAATTTTATTTTGGTGAAGATGTAATTTAAGATTAAGCAAAGGCCTTTATTTTCGAATAGTGTACAATATATGGTAGCAAGTTGACCAATATTTTTTGGTTTATTGGATATATATATATATATATATATAAACCACCTAAAGTAAAAAAAACATGTATATTTCTTATTCTTCTTTGATGAAATATAGAAGATAAATAAAAAAATATTATACTAAAAAGTAATAGTAGATACTTTTGAAAGTTTAAAATATTCAAGGCACTTAAGCAAAAATAAATTCAATACCAAAATTTAGCTATTTAGAGCTTGTATTGGAGGTAAATTAAAAACATGATTTTTTCTTAGAAAATAGAAATATTAAAAGACAAATATTTATCTAGGATCTATGTAGCAATATTCCAATACTTTGATGTAAAAGCATCAAAAGTGCTCTTACTATATACTTGCATGTAGTATTGTAGTATCATGTGTTTCTTCGATAGAAACATGATTCCATTTGTTGAGGTAATTTTTTCTTTCAATGAGTTCAAAAGATGCATTTAGATGACCAATATCATTATTAATAATCTCCAAAGTTGTAACCATCTTTTTCATATTTGGAATATATTTCATATAATTAGTAAGAAATGAGCCATAATGAGGTATAGAGTAATACAAGAATCATTTTATGCTTTGAAAAAAATTAACATACTTTGGAGCCTTCCTAAGTTGGTTGTGAGCAAATACAACCATTTTTTTTGCCATCAAGTCTCCAAGACAATGACACAAACACAATAGGATGTCTATGTTGACCTTTACAAGCATACTCAACTATTTCTTGTCTAAGAGTCTCTATAGCCACATATCCATCTACATTTCCTCTATCACTTTTCTACACTATGGAATCATAAGAAAGGGATCACATCCAAGCCTTAGAAAAGTCTTCTATTAATTATTTCATTGGCCAAAAAAACTCATTGCACTCTTTTCCAATATGCATTTTTATAATTGAATATTTGTAATCTATCAATGAGCACAATTTCAATAGCTATTACAATTGATTCATAAAATTCATTTAGTTTGTAGACTCCATCACTAATTTGTACAATCAAAACTTATAAAACATGTTTCACAATAGAACCTTGGTCTAATAACTATAGTTAGGATTTATGAATATTGTTCATAGTTAATGTAATATGTCAAAATTTATTCAAGTATCTATCAAATATTTATTTGTAATTTCTTTAAACATTAAAAATATATATATTTGACAATATTATACATTTTCAATGCCTTTTGGTCTTGGTTCACTATTCAAAGAAAAAGACTTAGTTGCTTTTGCACTCCCCTCCAACCCAAATCTCAATGTTGATGCCATCTTCTAAAAGACTTAACAAAAAAAATAAAAATAAAATCCATACTTAAGAATCTGGAAATATATTTAAAAGACACATTAGTATAATATAATATAAATTTTAATGAATACTTTATTACTACTTTTCTATTATTATTATTTATTTAAAGTTAACAATATATTTGATTTTTTTAATTATTTACATAATTATATTAACTAATTCTACATTATTATAGATTATATAGATTTATTTTGGTCAATTTGAAGTTGTCTTGGTTATTTCAATTGACTCCAATTAATAATAATTCACTTTGTCAAAACAATTCAATTAATTGCCAACTTTTTCTATTGGCTTATATTTTACAAATAAGTTATGATTTCAAAAATTTACTAAATACTTTGACTATCAATGTTGATTTCTTATGTGTTGTCATTTATTATTTTTCTCTTAACTTCAATTATTATTGTTATTCTTCTTTTAAGTTTTATTATTTTATATTTGTTATTTTATCTTTATTTACATATAATTTATTTAAAAAATATATGTTTCTTAATATCATGAACTTAATTGTCTATTTATTGTTTTATCTTTAGTTATGCATAGTTTGTTTTCAATACATTATTTTCATTTATATTCTTTAATATTATTCATTTAATTATCTATTTACTATTTTCTTTTGTTTGTTTATTTATTTAGTCATCTCTTAACTTCTAGACTCCATCACAATGAACTCATAAACATGCATGAGAGATTCAGAATGGACTTCAAAAGATAAACGCTCGAATCACTTGCCTTCTGAGAATTGATAAAATCACAGCAACACCTTCATGATGCTGATCCTCAAATTTCCATCGTTGAGCACAACCGGTTCTGAGTCTAATGCAAGCTCCGACTCGGTAGGCTCCGCCTGATTCAGCCAAATTCTAACTGGTCAGTTGCCCCAGTTGATTCGTTGCCTGATCTCTCGTTGCAAAGATCCTACACACTGCAACCTGCACCTCCATACGCTTGCACGATTCTGCCAACACCTCAATGAAAAAGAGCAACATCGTCCAGGATGAAGGGTCGCCCAGACATAGCAGCACTCGCGTCAGTTCAGCTTTGATAATTCTAAAATCATCTCAAAGGCGACCACCGTTTTGTGAATATAGTGTCAACAGTGAAGATATGAGCGAAGACACTGCATGCATTCGTCATTCCACTTGACAACTGAACGGATCCCTTGGGCCTCCAGCAATGAGCGGCAAGACGGCGAGAATAAGAGACTCCACAATTTTGCTCCACCAGTCTTCTGCGCACACCCCGCGACACTCGGCGATGATTGCAGTGAATGCAAGACTGAGAACTCCAATCGATGTGTTCAAATTCACGGGTTAGAGATCCACTGCTCCCACCACGTTGCGTCTCTGCCCGAATAGGAGTGTAAAGCGATTCGAGTTGGGACGGTCCGGAGCGACAGGTGGCGAGCGCAGGGCGTGAGCAAAAAGGTTGTGAGGGTGACAGATCAGAAAACGAGGAAAAAACAAGCAGCAGCAGCTCGGAGTAGAGCCGAAGACTAACAGGCCCAGGAGAACAAGCAGCGGCAATTTCAAATGTCTTATTTGGTTACCGAAGCTACAAGACTTCGTTGGCCTTCAGCACGCAGAGGGTCAGGGAACCTAATTGGAGAGTTCTAGTCTCCGCACTCTGCTTTACCAGCACATGTCTGCTTCGTTTCTTCAATCGCATCGAGGCTCTGTCGCCATCTCATTCACATTCATATATACATGATTTCTCAAGTAGACGTTCTGATGATTAATGTCGTAGAACATTCGGAGACGAAACTCACACCACCGACCATTTTGCAAACTACAAATCATTGTTATCCCATACGCCAAAAGATGACAGTAGAGCCTGCTTGAAGGCGCAGTAGCCAGTGAAGCAAGATGAGTGGCAAATGAAGTAAAATTTAGTGTTTCGCAAGGTCAAAGTTAGTCGAAGAAAGATACACATGGTGGAGCCATGCAATGCAATGTAACGCCCTAATCTCAAGAATGTAAGAAAGAAACAGGAATTTTACAATTTCAGACGCAGAAATCCTTATATATACTAATAACAACCTCTGATTCAGCACTGAATTGGAATAAATCCTCCCAGCTGTGCAACAGCCAACTCCGTTCTGACTACAAGGTGAATAAACTGCAAAAAATTTAAATGATGTGCAGGCCTGAAGACCATAATTGGTAAATACTCAAACTCAGTGCATAAGCAATCTGAAGTGCACCCCCCTAATGACAGCATGGTTGACCCATCAGTCTGAATCTTTTCTGGAAACTCCATTTGATTAAGGGCGAATGGTCCCCAAATTCAAGACCAGCTTCATCACTGCTCCTTTTGCGCCTCAAAACGAGCAGGCGATTTGACTGCTTTCATGCAACAGATACCTGATACGAGAATGGTAATGAGGGTAAAGGCCTGCACACGACAATTTTTCGTTACAAATTGTAGAATACCAAGTCCCAACTCATGTAGAAGTGTAATGACGGTCCCATAAACTAACAGAAGATAACAAGTAAACTTACCACAAAGATTCCTTCAAGAATCACAGCCCTGCTCCTGCAAAGTGCATCACAATCTGTAGTTGCATTGCCAGTGCTTTCGAATAAATGGCGTTCAAGAATTCCATGATGCTTCTCGTTTGAAGCCTTAGGGTCAGAAGAATACAGAACAACATTGCTGGTTCCAGACGACTTCAAGCTTGACAGCACCTTTTCCAGCACCTCTCCTGCAGAATATAAATACGGTGAGCACACTTAAATACAAATGTAAAAATTGGAAGAAAAATATCAAATCATCTGGCTTGTTAAACAAGAAAATTCACATAAATTCTAAATGTTGAATATTCGCAGTGTTCGTCCAAATCAAAGTATAACCTTCAGAAAGGGACTTGTCAGCAACGCTCCAATCCAACAAGGGACTGTAGCAGATGACCAGAAGATCAGTTTTCTTGTCCGCACGCGGAAGCTTCCTCCCCACAATCCACTCCTGGACACAAAAAAAAATCACAAAAGGAACACACAAGCACGTACGATTTGGAGCTTTAGTCTAAAATTACACATTTATCTCACTGTTAGGCACCAGAATATAAACAAGGAACGAAAAAGAAATGACTATGCAACACGACTAATGTTTGACTTGCGTTCAGTAAGCATTCAGAACATGCGTTTCTCAAAGCATGATGCTGAAATCTGAACGTATCATCATCTACATTTTTCACGCACGTTTTATGCACAATCAGTGTCACACAGGTAAATTTTCAAGGACATAATCTCAGATGAAGCGTGTAAATTGCAAACACACCTGCACAGCAGGAACACCAGTAAGCCTCTTCACATCATGCTCTCCAATAGAACAAGATCCAGATACCGCTACTTCATCAATTGCCACTGTGGTGCCGAGCTCGCTTGGAACGTTCCTAAGTAGAGACTCTGCAACCGAAAGTGACCCACTTGCTACAGTGACGTAGGGGATTGCCATTGAATACCTAGCATCAGCGACAGATCCCTGCAATTCGAACCAACGACAATTCTAGAAATGAGTAATGATCCCCAACACGTAATAAACCTCGGTTGAATGTAAAACAAAATTGCATAAAATGCAACAGATTAAAATCAAGTTAATATGCCGTTTCGTGGATACACAAATTTCTCCTGATAAGCATCAAAAATAATAATTCCCGTTCATATCAAGTTAACCTACACATTTTCAACACCGTGGATACGACAAACACCTGAAGAGTCTTCAAAACGCCAGACGGCTGACCTCGAGAGATGTCCTCAGATTGGAGCTGCTCAAAAAAAAAGATTTTACGAATCAGTTCGAACAAAGATAAAAGTAAACAAAACCCTAACCTGCCAAGAATTTCTACTGTAATTGGAACGAAAGAAATTCATGACATGTTAGGACTCCAGACTAGGCCAAAGCAAAAGATATCTCACCTCCTCTCCAATGAAAGCAACAATCATCTCTGGAGCTGCTTCCTCTCCGTCTATACCCTGCAAGGCACTAAATTAATGGGTGACTATGTAAAATCAACATGGATTGTGCCTGTGGCACAAGTCAGAGAAAAATGAGACACACATCTTGTAGATTCGACAAAAACACACCTGCCCTTATCGCACTCTGCGGGGGGTACCACTCTCATCCTCGAAACACCATTCAGACTCTATCTCCTCAACATCCGTTTAAAAACATAGTTCGAGGTTCAAAAGAAATTAAACAATGTACCTGAGTAGATGTGCATCTTCTTAGGTCCTGGAAGATGTTGCTTACTAGGCTTTCGGGCGTCTGAGATTTATACTTAACACTTCGATCCTCCTTACCGAAGCATCTGCAAGCAAACACGGCAAGAACATTCAATTGGGAAAAAGCCCTGATCAGCTGCAATTCAATAACAGCCTTAGGAATTAGCACCAACCTACTGATCATTTGAAGAACCCAGAATTCCCAGGAAAAAACAGAATCTTCACAAGGCATCAGCTTGTTGATAAATTCTAACGTATTGGATGGGAAAAATCCAACAATAACCAGATTTCACAATACAGCTCTAAAAAATCCTACACCACGAACACATAACAGCGATAGAGATCTGAAACCTCAAAAAAAACAAAACAAAACAAAACAAAACAAATCAAACAAACAAACCACCATAATCCTGCTGAGAATTCAATCCGATTCTGACACAAAAATAGGCCAAACACACACTAGATCTGGGATTTTACTCAACCTCTTCAGAAATAATATCGACGGTGAGCGTAGCGAATAGGAAACCCCTAAACTTCGGGCCTAAAGTGTTCTGAAACAATCCACTACCCTAAATCCAAAATCGGGTCGCCTTGTGGTCACCCATAATTCCGAATCTGAGATGAGTGCATCTAAACGGAAACAGAAATCAGCTCAGGCAATCAAACCCACAAAACGCTATACCTAAGGTCGGACCAGACGAACGCCGGAGTGACGACCTCAGCTGCAACCAACTGAACTGCGATGAGAGCCACCAAAACGAACCCCACAACCCGAACCTCCATAGCATTGCACTGCTTCCCCATCTCCGCGATTTCCTAACAGCAAACAATACAAAAAACCCTCCGAAGCGCACCAGGATAGCAAAACAGCCAGTCAGTCCACGACAACGACGATGATCTGCGGCAGTGGCTCCTCCACAATCGAAGCCTCACTCCTCGTCGTCCTCCTCCTGGTCCTCCCTCGGCAAGCAAGCAAGCAAGCAACCACGTAGAGGATGAACGAACACAGCCCCCTCGGATGGGTGTCTCCCGTCGTCGTCGTCCTTGGATGACACGCCCTAAGCCCACGCTTCCGTATTGCATCGGACCCTGTGCCCGTGGGACCCTATCACTGTGACTTTTTCCCACTTGGGTTTTTTCTTTTTTGCTTTTTCCCTTCCTTCCTTCCTTCCACAGCTTAGTATTATAAAAATTGTCTTCGTTTGCTGATGAACCCCAGACTTACTTAGCCTGTGGATGGACGAACACAGCCCAGCCGATTATCATGTGTGGGAATGAGATTGGAATAAAGACAACTATACATGTATTTGTATGTTTCACCTCCCAAGTATGATTTGAGAGGTTGAGTTGTGTTCTTTTATAGACATGCCTCTAAGCTTAGCCCACAAATGAATATGATCCATTAAATTTTCATGTGCAGGTTGATATTCTATTATTGAGGTTTTGCCTTTGAACTGTTATTTGTCCATTATCTAGAGAACATGTGGGCAGCAATTCAAAGGCAAAACAAGTCTTGTGAATAATAATGCTCCTCCTCAACCTTGAGATAAGTATTGAGAAGGCTCTATTTGACAAATGATAGCCTTCTCAAACTTCAAGAGATGTAATTCATTTGTAGCCAATCACAATTTGTAGCATGGAGTGGGGTTCCCCAATCATTGTCTTCCCCAATTCTCATTGTTTTGACACATATTGTTTCCATTCTTGGACTACACTAGACACATACTCTTAGCCCCTTGGGTTGCACTCATGACTCTTTAATTTAAGGTAGTACACAAATTTCATTACTTGCTCAAAGCCTTGTAACTGGATTTATTTCTTGAGTACTTATTTATAATTTGTAATAAATATCTGAATCATTTGTATAAGGATATATGTGTCAGGTTTTATCAGTTTATTTTATGAATGCAGACTTTTGCAAGAGTAAAAAACCAATATTTGGAGGTTTTAATTCAATATATAGCTGTTTAAATAGATGAGAAATAGCAACCCAATAGTTCAAAGAAAAATAACAATAGTGCCAATATTGTCATTATAATCAGCCTATATAAATTCAGATCCTAATCTTTATATGTTCAAAAACTATGCATTGAAAAATGTACATGTATTCACTGTAAATCAAATGCATTGTGGAATATATTTTTTGGAATAAAAAACGTTTTTGTAGAATGAGATGACGAGATTAGAACGTTTTGCCAAAGACCTTAATTAAGATTGACATTGCCACTTTGGTAACATTGATATACTGTCAATACTTTAAATTACGTGGATTTTAATGTAATAATAGATTTAGATTGTTAAAAAATTTATGAAGTAATCATAAACACTAGTTTTACAGTTTATTTGAAAGACAACCATAATAATTATGTGTTTATGGTAATTACAGTTTGGTGCAAACAAAAAAGAATCGGTTTTGGAGCATAACATAGAGAGTTTGAATCTGATATAATACAAGAATCAATTATTTCTTGAACCAGGATGAATGTATTATTCAAAAACTTAGGATGTGCATTTTATTATACACATATAAAATATATATATATATATATATATATTTATATATATAAGTTTTGAAATGTTTGTTTTAGGTGCATCAATATTGTAGCTGAATTTCAAGAATAATATATTTAGTCTGTGTTCAATGTTTTTGATTTTAATGTGTTTAATATTAGGTTTAGGCTACAAGCACCCCAAATTGCTATATTCAAACCCATTATGTCCATACACACACCCAGATCCTCCCATTGATTGCTTTAGACCTTAGTGCAAGTTCCAACCTCCTCCCCTCTTCCTTGTCAAGGATGAAGTCTAAGACTTCTTCCAATCAAAAAAATTGTTAACATTCAATGTGTTTTTTTTTTCAAAATATATGTAAAAATAAATCAGGTTTTAACAAAATTAATTAAAATCAAAAACATTGAATACAAAAAAAGAATAAATTGTGATAGCAGTAGCAAAAACTATGGTGACATCAACAACACCCTGTTATGAAATTGCTCGTATTTTAATTATCACTAACTCTGTAGTAAGACACTACTGGCACCCTTCTCTTACATAAACAAGTTGATGTAAAGTGTGCAATCAAAGCAACATTGATTGATTGCTTCAAAAGTATTGCTCTAATTTGTTTACATGTACAGCTAACAAAACTTTTAACCTTGCTTTACAATTAGGTTCAAACAATGTTATACTTTAGATTGTAAAGCAAGTTAAATATTAGGAAATAAGAGCTAGGATATAGGATTCACTTCATGGATAATGTGAGATAAAAGTTCAACCATGAGATGGAAAGTATTTCACCAAAATTTTAGAATATAGAGTACATGGTTCCACCAAATGTTGCTCAGTTGTGCGTGACAGTACAAAAAAATGGAAAAGTGAAAGTGAAAAGTGGACAATGAATCATTAAGCCATACACTCTAAGAACTTTAATTAACAAACAAGTTCTCATTTATTTAGATTGGAACAGCATATTCTGAAGCAAAATAAGAAAAAGTCACAGATTTCTATCCATGGATATAAATAACCGAACAAACAATCAAACAAAAAAAGCCGTGAAACAAGCCCATTGAATGCAAACGGCGATCAGAGCTGCGGTGGGGCTAATGAACGAGGCCAATCCCCTCGGATGAATGACCGGCCTACAACAAAGCTGAGGTGGCAATCCGGCCATCCATCCACCGAAAGCACCATCCATTAACGAATGAATAGATTCAAGCTCAACAAATAATCCATCCACAGTCGGATGAGACCACGAGAGGGCCGAGCTAGTGACCAGTAAGGTCCACTTGGTGCGGTTATCAAACCGAATTAACCCTGCCCCCGCCGTCGGCTAGGGCGCGGTCATGGGGTTACTTCCCACCCACAAGCCAAGGAGTGGGCAGGGTGGGTGCCCCACCCACGCCCGACCCGGCTGGGGATGGAGGAAGGCATTGGATGGAGCATGGGTGGGGGCTAATGCACTGCTTGCTTGTGAGTTGGGCCCCGCCGTGCTCCTTAGCTCGCGGAGTTTGGCCGCGGCTGTTTTGTTTTGTTGCTGTAAAATAACGGGGTTGGTAAAAGAAATTGCGAGACAAATTGCAGGCCTGCCTGCAACTGCGTTATGTTATGTTATGTTATATTGCGTTGCGTTGCGTTGCGTTGCGTTGCTTGGGGTGGGATCCAGGATCCCTGGTGCTGGATAGGCAGTGCTTGAGGCAGCCAGTCCCATTGCGTCTCCTCTAAAGCGCGTCTAAAGAGCCTAAAGTGATGTAGATACTTCCTTGTTTGCTAAGTTACACCAGTTTCTTCTTCTTCTTCTTCTTCCTAGTTTTTGGTAGGCCATCGCGCTCTCGCTCGCTCCTGTCTCTCTGCTTGCCTTGTGGATTAATGGTAAGCTTAGCCTGTGCTGCACTCTACCAAGTCTCGTGACTGCCAAGGAAGGGACTGGATCAGTTCCCACAAGCGAGGAGGGCGCCACACTACGCGACGGTGCCTCTGTTTTTTCTAGCTTTGCTGCTGCAGGCATTTCGTGTCAGTGGGCTTCGTGATTGTGCTTCTCGCACCTCTGGGTGGCCGAGTGTGTTCGCAGCGTGTTGAGTTTTAGTGTCTTGGGTGGCGGCGACAGCGGGAAGTTTTCATAGCTCTTGCGTTTAGGAAAGGTAAGGGGAGGCGAGTGATTTGCAAGGAGATTGTGAGTGGGGGAGGAGGGGGGTAATTTTGTGGAGTTTGTGAGATTGCACACCAGCATTGTGTGCTGGTTGCGTCTTGGGTGCAATTTCTTGGACGAGGGTTTGTAATCTTTGTGTTTGGTTGGCGTTCTCTTTGTGACGCATTTCGCGTGGGGTGCATCCAATTTGGGGTTGCGAGGTTGTTGGGGTTCGATTCCTGAACGGAATTTGGTTTAGATGCATTTTATTGCGGTGTAGTGATTGGTGATTCGAAGTTGATTTCATTTTTAGAGGCAGTAGTTTTTAAATGCTGGAGATCGGCATAGCGATTAGACTTGGTGGTTGAGGAGTGCTTCACTTAGAAAAAAACGTGTAGTATTTGAGTACTTCTTGCGATTGTATCTTTCAGTGCCTGTAGATATGTTGTAGCGGAAGAAACCACACAATGGCGTTTCGATCGATATTCTAATGTCGGCTTAAGTTTTGAATTTTCTATGTTTGTCAGTATATTTACTTTTGAGAATATATATATATATATATATATATATATATATATCGAATTACTGATAAATTTGTTGAGTGAGAAAGATTGCAACGTTCTACATTTGAGTGTGGCTTCGAAATCTGGTTCGAAAGTAAATATGGTTCACGTGAGCACTGCACGAGCTAATTATAAGTTTGCAGTATCTTTAATTTGAATCTTCTCGACTAGAGTGACGGAGGTGACTTATTGCAGGGTTTTTGTTGTGTCGCTGCAAACCTAGAACTGATTTTCTGAAGTTGTCATCGGAATTTCAGACTATGATTTGCCAACTAGTGCAGCTTATGATTGAATTATAGGCTTTGTGACTTCGTTATCGAAATAACTAATCCGACGTCTTCAGATGCTTTGTCACGGCATCATTCCCATTGACATTATTCCAACACAATAAGATTAATTAGTGTAATGTGCGAGCTCAGGTTTACAGGAACATGGGATGCATTTTTTCTTCCGACGCTGATGACGGAGGTCCCTCAGAAAATTCCGTCAATCCTAGTGAAGTATATGTGTATGTATTGGGCTTGAGGGAACCTAAACAGATCGATTTAACAGAGAAGTTGAAGGGAACGGTGTCGCCGGGGTTATCAGAAAAGATGCAATCTCTTCGATCAAAAATAATCACTCTCTGTGGCAGAAATGGATCTGGGATGAAAATGAAGCCGCAGAGGAAATCACTCGATGGTGAGAATGCTATTCTGTAATTTTATGCGCTTCCTTGACTTGGTTATAACCATTTTTCTCGGACATAACGAATTATTCTGTACAATGTACTGGGTGGGTTTAAATGTATAATGAAGTAGTTTGAAATAATTGGTTCATATGAACTGCAGGTGATTCCGGTGACCTGGACTTGGAGAAGGCTTTGAACGATTATTTACCTCTATTGCTGGGTCTCGTCATAGGAGGTGGTGCATCTCCAGGGTCCTGTGACTCTTTGTTGCATTGCAATGTGTGCTCGGATACTGGCTTTTAGGTTTCATAATGTTGTGGTTTTTTGTGCATTAGGTTTCTTTCAGGGAGGTATGATTTGCTTGCATCTTGATCATTCCTGCATTCTAGGAAACTGAAATGGGTTGGTGTTATGTGTTGCATAGGTGATAAATTCAATTCGGTTGTTGAATTTCCCTGGACAAATGTGGTGGACGAGAAAAAGGTCAGCTTCAACTTCAATTTTCCTTTTTGATAGAGAAACGATAAGTGACTATTTTTGAGGTTCTTAATCAACCAGATTGGTTAACAATTACAGATGAAATAGAAAGTGGATCTTCTCTTTGAAGCTTTCATACTTTTTTATCCACTGAGCATCAACATGCTTGGTCCCCTTTGCAGGACACTTCAATGGCAAGTGTGTATTATGAGTTGCTGTCTGTGCTGCATCTTTTAGGAGTGCTGGCTTTACAAGAAGCCAATATGTGCTTGACACCAAAGCCTCGAGCAGATGAATACAATTCCAAGGCAACCGAAGGCATGTGCTTCGCTTTGCATCCAGTCTATGCTTTTGGGCGGTACCTATCTTCGAGCCTTTCTTGGCACACAGTATCTGATGGTAACTCCTACTAACTTTGCGCTTCATCCTATTGCAACTGCAATACATTCAATTTCTTTTGTGGCTTCATGCACTGCAAGCTTCTTTTCCATGACCTGCGAATTAAATGTAGTTATGTTTTGCAGAAGAACTCGTACTTTATTTGTCAGGTTGTAGAAGTTCAATTTGAATACAATCCATTTTTAAATGACGTGAATAAGCTCAGTGAGGATTATTACGGATTGATACATACATGGCTGACGAAATCTGAGATAGTTGAATGTGTTAGACTATCTGTATATTTTACAGATGTTCTCTTTTTTGTTCTAACTGGACGAGTGCTTCCAACAGAAAGCAAAAGAAAATCCATCAAAATATTGTTGAAGGCCGCATCATACTTCGAGTGTGCCTTGAAAGCTGTGTTGCCTAATACTCCAGAGGATACAAAGTAAGACATCTTGGAAGGATGAACAGTGAATACTTTCATGTTCCTGCACCCATCTAGTTGACAAGTTCTTGGCAAAAGCATAGGTTATGTAAACACACAGCTGATCGTGGCATATTAACGGACGCTCGTGCAGGGCGAAGCTACCAGCTGATCTAACTGAAACAATGTTTAGGTCATTGGAGCAGCAAGCTATAGGCCAGGTATGTTTTTGTTTCGCTGTTGTTTGCATATTATTCACGTATCCTGTTGAGACTACGAATAGGTTGCTCACTATGAGTATCATTCATTTTTGTGCCCTTACGTTGAACGGGGTTTCGTGGTGCAGGCTGTGGACTTGCAGCTAGGATTTGCGGTTGTTAGTGGGAAAGCTTCTCTCGCTGTGAAGCGAAGACTGGCCTGTGAGCACGTTGAAGTATGGGATGAGGTAGGTGTTCCAATGCTTATGTTATATGCTGGCGCAATTTGTAGATGCGTTATTGGACACTAAGACACTTTGAAATGATCTGCACCCGATCAGTAGCATTTGTAGAATCTCATCTTCAAGGAATATTTTTCGCTGTTGGAAGAAAGACGATTTATATATCAAAATAAAGTCTTGTAGGTAGAGTCACCAGTTCATTTTGTGGTATGTATGGCAGGCAGTTAGAAAGCTAAGAGCCGTGCAATTGGGGGAAAGGGTGAGGGACAAGCAGTTACTATATGTGAAATGGAAGCTTGCAGAAGCAAAGGTATAGCATTTGATCACTGTTTGAGGATGGTGATCTCTTTACAAGTTGCCACAGGCATATGGAATTGTGTACCCAGCTTCATTTCTTGAAGCAGAAATTTAGCTTAAGATGCATTTCGTCTTTTGGGTAACACTTTCAGTCACAATAACATTCATCTTTTGTTTTACAGGCGGCAGCTTATTATTTTCATAGCCAAGTTTTAGATGAGGGCTGTGGAAAAAACATACATGCACAATCTCTGTCGTGCATGAGAGCTTCACATGCTTATTTGAAAGAAAGCCAAAAAGCTCGAAATGAGTTTGGGAACATGGAACCACTGACAAAGTATGCTGTTCTACGCACTAAAAAAACTTCTTAGTTTGTACGGCGTGTCTTTAATCGTACACCTAAAATGTGGGAGTAGTCCACAGGTCTTTGAAGATGTTGTCTAAGTACCTGATGTTAATCTGTGCAGAGTTCCTCCGTTGTGGGGTACGATGAAGTATCTCTATCGCAGAATACCCAGGGAGAGGTCGAGTAAACGGCGCCTTCTCAGAGAGAATTACCCCAAAGAAAAGTAAGCGACAAACTATGAGTTCTTTCGGTTTGTATGTGGTTTGGCAGTTCATCAGTGACCAGTACATTGTATTGGAAGGGAAGATATCTGCCAAAATTGCCACCTGTGAAGTCTTCTGTACTGAAGCCGTGTCTTCAAAATTGGTCCATAACAAGCACTACATGGCTTTCTAAGGAATGAAGGTTTTGCTCTGCAGAATGCCACGGAAGACACCCAAATTGCCAGAGTTTCCTGTTGCATTGAGTGCGGATCCATTCCACTTGCCTCCATTTGATCCAGCTTGGAAAATGGAGAGCGGGTTTGAAGTTAGGGCTTCCCTTACTGCCGTCTTACCAGTATATTACACGTTGAAGGATCAAATTCCACCGCCAATTTTGGATTTAAGCAGGGCGGGACCTGCGCTACCACCATCGGCAGTTACTGATATGGTACAAGTCACATAATTGCCCTACATAAATTGTGGAGTTTTTTCAATATATGCTGTTGGTCATAAGCTTAAGAAGGTTTGAACTAGGTGCGTTTGTCATGTATGAGGTTATTGATGTAAAATTATGCCCATTCAAATCAATCTTCATAGAGATAAACCAGGCGTCCCCGAAACCGTTCCCTGGAGCTTTTAGGCTAGTATATGCTAATCTCTGTAAAGTACACTTTTAGGTACAGCGAAGTCGAAGGTGTCCAAGTTTGTTTTGTTGCTTAGAGATCTAATTTAAAGTGCGGCAGATGTTTAGTTCATGTTTAGTTACTTATCATAAAGCCGAAGTTGGATGGATTTCTGACTTCGTTCCTGCTGCTTCACTTTTCCAGTATGCGTTGGTGTCGTTGGCATCTGTATATGAAGTTTGGTGGAAGGATGTGAAACGTGACTGAGGTTGAATATTCCATGATCATGAATGAGTGAATATTCACTGTTGAGCTTCGCGGGAGCTTTCATAGAAGACTTCTGTGGCTTTGAAACCGACTGGAATTGAAATTTCAGCTTGTCGACAGAGCTTACAATTTCCAACTTTTGAGTACGGGTGTAGGCTTGAAGCCCGCGAGGCGGCTTTTTCCAACAAAAGCTAACTGGATTTGCCTACAGACGCTTCGTCTTTGTGATACACCTATACATTATTATTCTGTATTTTACATTCTTTTTGCAATTGAACAAAGTTTAATTTGCATAATCTTAGGTAGTTGTATATGTCTTTTTATTTGAAAGATCATTTTTTCTTTTTTTAGACATATTAGTTTGAAAGTAGTACGTTGTAGTGGTTGGATATGAAATTTGATCAGAGTATTATTGAAGCTGTAAAACAGTGTAGGCACAGTTCCACTGCTTTTGCATGCTGAAGTCTATCCACTTGTAATGAAGTTTTGCATTTAGGAGGAAACCGAGGGAATATTGGAGCCTTGTCTCTGTTACGTCAAATTTTTTCCCTTACCAAAAGTTCAGACTTTTGTTTGAAAAATAAAAATAAAATTGCTACTTTGACCAAGTTCCTGGTAGAAGCTATTTGGATTACTTTTGGAAACGCTTTGGAAATGCTCTTTGTTGTAATGCATTATTAATCACTTGCATCCTAATCATTGATATATGCACTCAAATTCTCAAACTAATGCTAACAAAATTATATTTAGAATCCATACTGTTTCATGCATTTAGATTATTTTCTTTATCTATTTTTTTAAAAACATGAAAATCAAAATTCAAAATTATATACATATTAACACAAAATCCATGTGCTAAGATCTATTTGATAAGATTGATGAGAGATTGAGATTTCACAACTAGGATTTAAACTACAATAATTCCTCCATAATTCAATATTTTGTAATTCAATAACCTATATTGCTTGATATAATGTCTCCTCCAAATTTGTTCTATTATGATAACTCAATATTTTGATTACTTGTTATTTGATACAATTTCAAGAATTTATGAAGTTCTAGTTCATTGTAGCCAAGCATCTAGAATTGTCTACACATAATCAAAAACATATAGCTTATGTTGGCAGTCTTTTAGTACTATGTACATTGAGAAATATGTAAGTTTTATAATGTCAAGGAGCTTAATCACAACATAGAGGGTAGTGGGTTTCTTCTTTTTTGGCACCTCTTGCCAAAGTTCAAATTCTAACTCTTCATCCTTGCCTTCAATCTTCCCACTTGTAGCACTTGCCAACAATTCGTTATGAGACACTTTCTCATGTTCCATTGAAACTTTTGCAAAAAGGTTGGGAAGGGCTTCCATTGACATTAGATTGCAAACACAATCTTTTGATGCTATCTAGAACCTCATTATTAATGATATCTTCATCTTAGTCATGTTGAATAGTAGCAGTAATCAATTAGTGATTGGGCAAAGGATATCTTATTTTTAACTATCATTAAATAAAAATATTTATAAAAATTTATTGACTTTTTAGTAGATAGATTCTAAATTTGATTTTTAATTTTTGACAAAAGAAAAAAGAAAAAAGAAAAAAAGAAAAAAAGAATGTGATATGAAGTAAATTTTATCATTATAAAACAAATTCATGGTCGAACAACTAACTAATATTTGATATATTTTATGAATATTTTTTGTAACTTCAATTTTTATTTTATAAGTTATTGATACCTTATTTTATAAATTTTAATAATTAGCTTCTAAAAATCTTCTTTATAATTGATTCTATGTTCATTATGTATTTAGTTTCTTTCTTTTATTTAAAATATTAAATTAATTATTTGATAAAATCTTTTAGGTAATAAATTGATTGTTAATTCCATTAAAAAATTTACTTCAAATAAGCTCTATAAATATAAATTTTTGGCAAAGTTATGAATTTTTAATTTTCTAATTTTTTAAATTTTTATAGGATTTATAAAAACTAAATCATATATATTAAATAAACTTGTTATATTTAAATACTTTATAAACAACATCATATAAATTTTTTATAATATAAGCTTTAGCTAATTTATATATTAATTATTCATTACAAAAGGTTTATTAAAAGCATAATAAATAAATTACTAAATTTTATATTTATGGCAAATCCTTCGAAATTTATTTCTATTATTATTCCTCTACCTTATGAATTATTCTTTTATAATGACACAAATTACTATATTTATTTTTGTAATCTGATTCTTTGAATTTTTAAAGTTTTTTATAGAGATTTACAATAATTGTAGATAAATTTTTGAATATATTTGTGAAAAAAAAGACCTTTTGATTTTTGATTTTTCCATAAGTCTTGATGTAAATTTGACATTTTAGAATCTCTATTGAAATAATCAACTTAAAGTTAATTGGATCTATTGAAATGTGTATTATATTTTTTTTGTAAAGTTTAGTATAGTCTTGTATTTTTTTTGAGGTTTAATTCTCTTACTAATAATTGAATTCTGGCATGAAAGCAAATGACACTTAAAACTTTGTAAACACAATTTGTGAGCTAAGATATATATATAAGCTCTTTAAAATTTTAAATGTGCATTAATTTATTCAAAAAAAACTTTAAATCTGATTGAAATATGAATATATATATATATATATATATATATTTAAAAAGGATAAGTTATTTATTTATTAATTCTAATAATATATATTTTTTACTAAATAATTTATCAAAAATAATAATAAGTAATTAAAAGATTATTAATCTATTTTTTTGAAATTTAAAATTAATTAGAAAAACAAAAAAATAGATTAATATAAAAATAAATTTTAAAAAAATTGATTAAAGTAAATTTTGTATTTTTATGTCATCGCTATGTGCATTCCAATAATTCAATAATAAAATTAAATTCGTCTTTAGAAATTTATCTTTAATATTATCTTTTATTCTTTTGAAGAGAGATAAATCTAAAAAAATTAAATTTTTATGTATTTAGTAATATTTCATTGTTAAATCAATTCTAGTAAAATAATAAAAAAATAAAGTAAAGATTAGAGGTGCTACTAACAATACTTTCTTGACACCAATTAAATTAAGTTGTTGCATTATTGTAAGTTTGGTTGGAATACAAAAAAAAACATTAGCCTTGTTTAAAATATATATATATATATATATATATATATATATATATATATATATGCCAACAATTGCGTAGAGCTTCATAATGTTTTACATTGATAAAGTCAAAGAGAAATCTTAAATTGGTTAAAAAAGAGACAACTTCTTTGATGTTAGCAATTACATAGGTTTACAAATGGACCTTTGGAAAGAATAAGCTATTATTATAATATTTGACTTTTTTCATCAAACTAGACTTTGTGTCATGGACATGTATTTGCCATAATTATTACATATGAATAAGTTGTAAATAAAAGTAGATTAATTTCATAATGTTTTTTAAAGAAACTTCTTAGAAGCTTCATAGACGCTGCTTTGACTTTATATGTATTTGTAGTTGATTGAAAGATTAGAAACTTGGTCAACAAGTTCACCACATGCCATACATGTTGGTAGCTTGTGGAACAAGCTAATTATGTAGCGCCCATATAAAAAACTTACTTTGTAAGTTAAGATATGTGTTGTGCAAAGTCAACATATTTTGGAGGTCTTATAGAACGTTGTGATATAGCTCTTAGATAGATAATACATATAGAGGCAAGAGTGAAGTTTTCTTCACTCTTGACAACTATTGTTTTCTTTTTAGTCTAGATTCAAGAATCTCTAGTTTTGTTGTCTTTTGGAAATAGCCATTCTATTTTTTTTTTTAATATACATACTTTCTTATTTCTATTTTGTCATATTTCTTAGAGAAAGTTTTACTTATTTATTTGCTTTCATCAAGTTTTTGTCCTTGACAAATTGACAAGAGTACACTTATAATATCAGAGCATTGTCTTTTCTTAATTAAGAGTAGATTATTTCTTTCTACTAATAAGACATAAGCATAGTGAAAGTTATAGATTACTCTCTTCTAAACTGATATTATTTTTAGTATTTTCTCTATTCTTAAGTTCTTTCTTTTATTTATCTTGAGTGATATTAGTCATCTTTTTTTTTTAAAGTTTTATTATAACAAAGCTTATCCAAATGAAGAGTGCAATGGCACAAATATAAAAACAATTGAGGGAATTAATGCTTGTGATCCATGAATTCAATTTACTACTATAAAGAAGAACAAGAATGACAAAAAGTAGAGATTTGAAGATGATTGGAGCTACTTCAATATTTGCACAAAATCATGTCTCTTCTCCTACATTAGAATATTATTCAAGCCATAGAGAACCAAAAATTGCCTTACTTAAGTAGTTATATGATATAAGATCAAAGTTTCAAAGATTCATCAATCAAGTATAAGTGGCAATTAAACATCAATTCCAAAGCTATCCAACTCCAAGATCACAAGTTAGGTTTATTAGAACATTACTTTTTAATTTTGTGTTATTATGATTTTTATCTTTTTTTTGAGTAGTGTGATACAATATCAGATAATTAGGAAGCTTTCTTGGTGGAGTTTCAATTTATGTATGGAGAACATGATGCAATTTATGTTATAACAAACAAGATTCATATTTTGTAATAAAAAAATCAATTTGTAATATTATATGCTTCAAAATTTTGACAACTTACAATTGATGTCAAGTAAAATAATGCTATACTTATTAACCAATTTTTTTATGGATTATAATATGAGGTAAAAAAATTGATACTTAGTTTACTTAATCCTCAAACATTGAATCAAGCAGTTGATTTTGTTATAAAGTATGATAATCAAATTTTTAAATTTTTGTCTAAAAATCCCTTAAGTAGGCTTTAATGTTATTATAATTCAATGGCAATATCAATGCCTTTCCAATACATACCTTCAAAATTGAGGATATGCAAATTGATGTGATATGTTTCAAATCTCTTATTGAGAAAGAAAAGACTTGTTATTGTTAAAATGGATTGTATTTATATTATAGAGAATCAAAGCACTTTGCTCAATATTGTCTAAAGAAGTAATGTAAATATAAATTGAGAAGTATAACTGTCAAAGAAGATGATATGTTAAAAAATAAATTTATCCAAGTATAATAAGGACCACGCAATTGGAACCTTACATAATATCTAATAAAAGCCTTATACTCTCCTTAAAATTCTTTTCTTGTTTTATAATAGATGTTAGTTTAGGATATTAACATCACAAAACTTCTACATTATTAGATTTAAGAGCTCTAATTTATTTTTTAAATGAAGAATTTATTAAAATATATAATATATTTTTAATAAATAAAATAAAATTTATTCATATAAAAATCATAGATGGTATTTCGTTGTCCTTTGGAGACATTATTCATAAAATATTTCTTTTAAAAGTAATAACTAATAGTCATAATAGTTTTGTGATATTTAATATCATTAGATTTCTTTTTAATCTAGTCATTTAGGTCTATAGTAGTTAAAAAAGTACAATCTTTAAATAGATTATGTTTCTCATAGTTTTGATTTTTTTAAAAGCATAACTAAGAGTGTAATTAATTAAATAAAAAGTTATAAGTTTAGTACAACCA